TAGCCCTGTCGATTTTCAAGCAGCGATCACTGCAGTAGTCGGGATCAGGCAGAATCCAGGCAGGGGCGCAGCACAGCGGGAGAGGCCCCCCCCACACCCGCCTGGACCGGGCGCATCAGTCACTCGCTCACTCAAAGGCCCCCACTCGGCCGCCTTTCCCACCTCCAGGGGCCTGGGCGCCTCCGAGAATCTGTATTTTACTCTAACGACCAACGGGAAGCCTGCGGAGGGGCTGGGAGAGGGGAGAGAAGGCCGCAGCAGGAATCCATGCCGCGAGGACTCGGGTGCCCGGAGTGGGGGGGGGGGGGGGGGTGAGAGCTGGGCCCCGGGATGTGCTCGGCGCTGGCAGGGCTTCCGGGAGCAGACGGGAGCCTGTTAGACCACCAGGCGGGGTCGCGGCTCGGTCAGGAGACCCAGGGTTTCTCTCCGTCTAACTCAGGACCCCTCCAGGCGCAGCCTGGGACCTGCAGTCGCTCCACCCGCGGGGTCTTGTTCGAAACTCAACTCCTGTCACGTCCAGGCCTGCTGGACCGAAGCTGGGAAGTGGGGCAGGCGATGCCAGTCTCAGGGAACGCCCAGCAGCCGCCCAGGGCTGAGAATCACTGCTCAAGGCCATAATCCTCAGCACTGTGACACCGGGCACACAGGCGCCCCGCGCGTCTCCTTCGAGTCTCCGGAACCCTCTGCCCGGTTAACGACAGAGCCCCACTGCCCGCACGCACGGGGGCTCCAGACGCACGACCAAAGCCTTCCATTCCAGCCGCAGAAACTAAGGCAAGGGAAGACGCGAAGTCGGAGCTGCTTTGGTAACCACCATCTCTGAGGTAACGGACCTCCTCGCCCTGGCTGTGTGGCTGTGCGTTACCCCATGGAATCCCCCTAAGGGCCTGAGGGCCTGAGTGTGCGGCCAACCGAGGCACGGAGGGCTAAATTAGCTTCCCCACAGTCACAGCTGGAGGTGACAGAGCTGACAGAACCCAGGCCCTCAGGTGCCATTCTCCACCACGATGGTACATGCTGACTATGACTCCCATCCTCCCACACCAACAGGATAGCCATTCGATGTTTTAAGTACATGGGGCTCATTTGGTGGTGTGGTTGTTTGGAAAAAGCATCTGTTGCTTATTCTGGAGGCTGCCTCGAACTCACAATGTAGCCCAGGCTGGCCTCAGACTAGAGGTGATCCTCCTGCCTCAGCCTCCTGAGGGCTGGGATTCCAGGCATGCGCCACCACGCCTGGCTGCATGGGGCTCTTACGAATAACCAATTACAGGCAGAACTTTAGATCTTTCTTTCCATCATAATTAGGTCTTTCTTACCACACAGACTCACCAATCCCAGTTCTACATATACTCAAAAGAAGAGAAAACATGTCCACACAAAAACAGTCCTATGAATGTTCATAGAAGCATTACCCGTAGTAGTCAAAAGTGGAAACAACCCACATATCCATCAACTGATGCCTGTATAAACAAAAGGTAGTGTGCCAGGCGGCCGTGGTGGGGCACACCTGTAATCCCAGCACTTGGAAGGCTGAGGCAGGAGGGTTGCTCCAAGTTTGGGGCCAGCCTCTGCTACATGAGTTCAAGGCCAGGCTGAACTACATCGCAAGACCCGGTCTCAAAAAAACAAAACAAAAAAGTGGTGTCTATTGCTAGGAGTGGTGGTAATCCCAGCACTCGGGAGGCTGCGGCAGGAGCATCACCACTAGTTAGAGGCCAGCCTGGGATACATGGTGAGTTCAAGGGCAGCCTGAACTACACAGCAAGATCCTGTCTCAAAAAACAAAACAAAACAACAACAACAACAAAAGTGGTGTCTCTACACAATGAACTCTCCACCATAGAAGGAAATAAAGTATTGACACACGCTTCAATGTGGATGAGCCTGAAAAACATGGTTAGTAAAAGAAGCTAGTCACAAAAGGCCTTGTATCACTCCACTAATGTGAAATGTTCACAAGAGGCAAATCTGTAGGAACGGAAAGCAGATTAGTAGTTGCCAGGCTCTGGAGGGAGGACATCATGGGAAGTGACTGCTAGTATACAGGATTGTTTTCCATGGTAAAAGTGTTCTGACATTAGTGGGGATGGTTGTACAAAACCATCTATACTTTAGATGAGTGTACTAAAAACCACTGAATTGCACACTTTAAAGAGGTGAATTTTATGGTATATGAACTATATATATATATATATATATATATCAATAATTTTTTTGGAGGGGTGGTGGTACTGGAGATTGAACCCAGGGTCTTCCCACTGAGTGACATGCCCAGCCCTTTTTTGTTTTTAGAGGGGTTTTTTGTTGTTGTTTTGGTACCAGGGATCAAACTCAGGACCTTGCATTTGTGAGGCAGGCCTTACATCCCCAGCCCTAACATTGTTATTTTTAAAAAAGAATGATACATTTTGAACTTGGCTATTTATGTTTTTTGTTTTGTTTTGGTACCAGGGATCGAACTCGGGTCCTTGCACTTGTGCAGCAGGCGGCGAAACCACTGAGCTAAATCCCTGGCCCGAACTTGGCTATTTAATAAAATTCTTTTTTGTTGTCACTATGGTTGCTGGATCTCGATCAAAGAAACTAAAAGTAACCTGCCTTCATTTTTGATTTTATACCTTTCAGTTTGCAAGGAAAACAAATTTCACTTCTATGTTGCCCTGAACCTAGTACATGGGCATTTTGTCATTTCCCTACATGGAAGAAAGTTTTTCTCCTCTGAGACTAAGACTCCAGGTGCAAAAGTTCTGTTCTTTAAAAAGTCAACATTCTCTTTAAACCAAGGCACCTTTCTATCTAAATGAACCCATGTTCTCGCATAGCCAGGAGCTCCTGGGGCTTCCCAGCTAAAAGTACACAGCTGAACAATATTTCTTTTCAACAAGCAAGGTAATAAAAACAATTATGAATTGTGGCAGTACTTTAACACCATAAGAATGAATGTGTCAACTAGTACCCGGGTAAGGATCTGAGAAAGTCTTTTAAATGTTTACTTGTTCTAATAATAACAGTAATCTGAATAATTACTATTTATTAAGCAACCATAATGTGCAAAATAAACACTCTCCTAGGTTCTTTACCGGTAGGTACTTCACTTTGTCGTGACAGTAACTCTGAGGAAAGCACTCTTATTCCTCACTTCATAGATGAGGAAGCTGAGGCCTAGAGAGATTTGTCAGTTCTTTGTCTTTGGTCATGCAGGTAAGAGAGCCAAACAAAATGAAAAAGAAAGCCAGGCACCTGAAGAAACAGAAAAGATCCCTCTTCCTATCTCACAGAAGTAGTGCTGTATTTCTTCTGCTGCTCCTGTAGTCCAGTAGAAAAAATAGAGAAAACCCAGGACAGAAAATACAACCAGCAGTCAGAAGGCACAGATGAAGCTGGGTGTGGTGGCGCACACCTGTGATCCCAGCACTCAGGAGGCTGAGGCAGGAGGACTCTGGCACGTCGGAGGCCAGCCCAGGCTGCACAGCAAGACCATGTGAAAACAAAGGGCACAGATGACCAGGCCATGCCTCACATCTCCTGTATGGCTTCCTGACAGAATGGTTTCCCCACTGACTCCCGTTATGATCCTAGGCTGCCAAAACTTCATGATCTCTCTGTGGAAAACCCCAGAGAGGAGCTGTTAACCCAACTGGAGGACTCACTAGAGCAGGAAGGGAAGTGAATCAGATGCCAGGAAGTGGTGCTTATCTGAAAACATAGAACATCTTCAGCATTTATATTAACACTGTAATTTCACAGCACTGTCTTCAGAGATAGCTTTGTGCTCCCCTTTTTTGTCAAGTTTTTTGAGACAGGGTCTCACTATGTAGTTCAAGCTGGCCTGGAACTCACTATTAGACCAGGCTGGCCTCAAACTTACCATGATCCTCCTGGATCAGCCTCCAAAGTGCTGGGATTACAGGCGTGCACCCGTCTACCCCTTTCATTTTAATGCTACCTCTTTTATCTTAACATGTATTACTAAAAGCTGATTCCCAGCCTATTCTCCATGTCTTATAGAATCTCAGATAAAAACAAGGGTTACATAGCCTGTACTGACCCTTGTTTCTCTCTGTTAAAAAAAAACAAAAAAAACCACAAGGTCAAAGGATTATCCCAGAAGACCTAAACTGATGAGGAAAGTGGCACGTGCAGACCTAACCAGACATGAATTCTATTGCTAAATAATGTGTAGCCGGCAGAAATCTGAAATTCATGACTGAAACACACTCTTTTTACCTCTCAGGACTCTGCCCAAAACAAACTGAAACTGTAACAACACAAGGAGGATGGACGCTGCTAAGAGTGCCAACATACACTAAGAAGGGGGAGAAAAGTAGAGGATCTGCTCTCCAACTGAAGAACGAAGAATTCGGTGCATTTGCACAAAAAGAGCAGGAGAAAAAGAGCTTACATTGGGTGACCGAATCCCAGAAAATGTCCAAGGATTCTGTGGTCATCTGTAAGAATCCCTAATGGGAAAGGGCCAACTTGAGATGAAGATCTGGCTGGAGGACTGTTCTCACTTTACTGCTCACAACCCCTCTGGCAGCCAGCCCTGAGCTACCTCCGCACCCCTCTGAGTCCAGACTGAGATTCCCGCGTGCTGACCCCGGGCGCCAGCAACCACCTGTGTCGGGTGGGGACCCCCGAGGACGAGCGCTGTCTAAAGTGGGGAGCAGGTCCGGGGCGAGCCCTCCGAGCCGGGACCAGTCCGGGCTCCTCACCAGACCCCACGGACCCTGACGCCCGATCTTCGGCCTCCTCTCCGCCGAGGTCACTTCCTGGGACCTCCGCCCCCAGTCCCAGACGGCACCCCACACCCAGCCGTCCTCCTCCTCTTTGCTTGACAGCTGCCCAGACGCCGCCAGGCAGCCCCAGCTCCCGCAGCCCGGGTTCTCCCAGACCAGTCTTCCGGCCTCGGCGGCGCCCCAGACCCGCAGGATTTAAGGAGTGGACCCGGGAAGGCTCGGTCCAAGTCCCTCTCCTTCTCGGCGTCCTGAACTCACCTCCCCGGCAGCTTGGCGCTCCTCTTCCAAAACTGCTTGCTGTTCTCTGCGGCCATGGCTCTGGCCTGGGTAAGGCCTGGTAGTCGAACCGGGGTGGGGGATGCCCAGCGAGAGGCCCCCACGACCCCTCAATCTGAGGGCCAACCCAGGCCGCTTCCCCGCCGCCGGTCACCCTCTCCCAGCTCCTGGAGACGCCATCTTGGATGTGGGCACCCCCCCACCCAGCGCCGCTGCCATTGGTGGGCTCCGCAGGCAGGGGACGGGTGGGCCAATCAGGAGCCGGAATCCTGCAGACCGCTGAAGCCCAACGGCAACGTCAGGGCCAGGCCGCACAGGTGGACCAGGAAGGCGGAGCTTGGATGGGCTGGAGGCGGGGCTGAAAGTTCCTCCTCCAGAACGGAAAAAACAGGTAAAGAAGGGGACTTAAGGGAAGAAAGAACAGATACTGTGTTCTTTGCGGCAACTGAGTTTTCTGATTAATATTTTTTGGAAGGAGAGAATATATATATATCATATATATCTTTTTATATCTTTATCTCCATATATCTTTGACTAAATCAAGGATTCTTATGGTAATTGTGACCCATTTTTAACATCTCACTGTTAAAATGACACTCTGGTTGATCTTCCCCCTCCTCCTTCCAATAAGATCCCAATTTTAAATTTTTTCCGCGAAGGACGATATGTACAGCTCCCATAGACCAAAGTTAGTAACTGTTCAACATTTAACAGTTGGTTCATCAGATTCTCCCTCACCTTGGGCTGGGATTGGTTAGAGCAAAGGGTTTGTGTTGTGTGTGAAATTCAGACGGCGAAATCCCTGTTTTTATCTACTTTGTGGTTATGAGAGCCCGGATACTGACAAATAGTGTTTAGAAAATGTTCTTATTTTTTCCAGCCAATTCAGATCACCAAGTATCATTTCTTGTTTGTTTTGTTTTGTTTATTTTTGTTTTTGGTTTTTTTGAGTGAGGGTCTCAATATGTAGTTCAGGCTGGCCTGGAACTTGTGATCCTCCCACCTCAGCCTCAGGAGTGCTGGGATGATAGCTGTGGAGCACCATGTCCAGCTATTTCTTTTTTTTTTTTTTGAGGACATGGAATATATCTATGGCATAAATCACAAAGATTAAGGATGTATCCCTGCCCTATATCCTTAATTTCCCTTATTAGTTTATTATAAATCTTTCACTTTTGAATTTACTTTCAACCTAATTTTGACTCAGAATGAGATCTGATATATTAGTATTTTGAATCCATTGAAGTCTTTTCAGTGATTCTTGGTTTCTGTGGTTGTATTTCATGATGATCTGGCAGACAGGGACAGTACTCCATGGTCCAGACTTGTTTCTGCCCAACAAAGGACAGAGGAGGTAAGAGGCTGATTGTCCCCCATCCTGTGTCCTTCCGCATATTAGGGAATATTTGTCCTGTCCAAGGAAGGATTCTTTCATGTGCTCTCCAGTTTGGCATCTTTTTATTTTGGGGCGGGGGGGAGTACCGGAGATCAAAATTGGGATCTTGCACTTGTGAAGCAGGCGCCGGAACCACTGAGCTAAATCCCTGGCCCTCAGTTTGGCATCTTTCTACATGGACATTACCCCCGTTTTCAAACTCCTTTTGTTCCCCAATTTCAGAATTACAGGATTGTAGGAAAAGGGCCATTTTTGCTCTCTCTGAGTCTTCTGTGCTTTCACAGACTTTCACCTCTTCCTCTTTATGGTCGTTTAACCAATCCGACGAAAGTCCCTCTGTCCTTTTCATCATTTTACCTGCCCAATTCTTCTTTTCTGTGGGACACAGTGACCAGCCCTGCCCTCTGATCCTTCAGAGAGGTGTCCTGAAGTTGTTTTGAAACTGATATTTTTGTCTTTATTCTGGATTTCCAGGGCCTTGGGACTTTGGAAAAGCTGAAGTTTTGGGTTGGGGATGTAGCTTGGTGGCACCAAGCCTGCCTGGCAAGCGCAAGGTCCTGAGTTTGGTTCCCGGTATCAGAAAAAAAAAAAAAGAAAAAGAAAACCTGCAGTCTTGAAGGAATCATTTGCTTTGACATCTACATGCCAGTCCTCAGTGGCAATGGGCAGTTGAGTTCACTGTCTTGTAGGTCACCTGAATTGTCTTCCTCCGTGTGCACTGCCTGACACTTGGCCATGTGGCATACCCTTGTCACTTTCCACTTATTCACCTAGCTTTAGAAATGCTCCTGAAGCCAGATGTGGTAGCACACACCTGTAATCCAAGCACTTGGGAGGCTGAGGCAGGAGGATCTCAGTGAGTTGGAGGCCAGCCTGGGATATATAGCAAGACTCTGTCTCAAAAAAAAACAAACAAAAAAAAACCACCTTATGTGTTTTGGTTCTACTCACTCTCCATTCCTCTCATTTATGCACTCTTGCTTAATTTCCAACTACACTCCTCAGTCTTTGGACTGTCTCTTGAACACTGTAGATACCTACCCAAGCCAAGGCCTTTGCATTAGCCACTGTGTCTGCTCAGAATTCTCTCCCTTCAGATTCTCTGCTTGGCTTACTCAACTCCGGATGTCCTCACCTTGGGGAGGCTGCCCTAACCCCCTGCTTTGAAGAGCTGGCTCCCTCACTTCATTTTTCCATACCGTGACCTCACACATGCCATACTATGTCCGTTTGCTCCATCTCTGTCCCTGAGAACAGAAACTGCACTAGGATAGGGACTTTGTTTGTTCTGTTCCTTGAACCTAAAATAGACCCCAGTATGTGGTAGATACTCAATATTTACTGAGTGGGTGAATGAAGATCATAAATAATTCTAGTCTTCTGCTGTCTGTGTCATTCATACACATTTTGGTTGGGAAAGATCCTGTTTCCCACATCCCCATAGGATGTGTCTACTTTACCAAAGATTCCAACGCTTGCCTGCTCTCTTGATTGATAAATAGTCTCCATCTCTTGAAAAAGAGTATTACAGGGCCAGTGATTTAGCTCAGTGGTTCCAGTGCCTGCCTCGAAAGTGCAAGGTCCTGAGTTCGATCCCCGGTACAAAAAAAAGAAAAAGAGTATTACAGCTTGTGTCTAGGTGTCCTCCCAAAGCCTCATGCAGTCATAGGTGGGGCTTCTTTGGGGGTTGCTAAGTCTAGAGTGTGTGATTGATTCATGGTGCAACGCTAGGATTAAGGATGGATGATTACTAAATCAGTCGCTGACTGATTTGGCACCACCCTTCTCGTGGAAGCTTGGATACAATGTAAGGGACAGAAAGAGGCGTGTCTTATTTCTTGCTTGCTTTGCTACCTTCTGCCTGCCACAGACTGTTTCTTCTCTGCGATGCCCCTCTGCTGTGCCACCCTGTCTTGGAGCCAGCTGAGATTATGGACTGAAACCTCTGCAAACTATGAGCTCAATAAACTTTCCCCCTTTAATTTTCGATGTCAGGTATTTTGTCTCTGCAAAAAGAGAAAACTAAGACAAAGAGTAAGGATTTTTGTTTGTTTGTTCATTTGTACGTTCGCAGTACTGGGCATTGAACCAAGGGCTTTTGCACTGAGCTACTTCCCCAGCCTTTTTTATTCATTCATTCATTCATTCATTCATTCATTATTTTAAGACAGGGTCTCCCTAAGTCACTATGTTCCCCAGGAGCTGGGCTAAAACTTGCAATCCTCCTGGCTCAGCTTCCTAGAGTGCTGCTATTATAGGCAGCTAAGTTAGGTAGAAATATTCTAGGCAGTCAGACAGGACTCAGCTCTTCAGAGAGCCAGTGCAGAAGATGAGAACACATCGTAACTATGGCTAGAGGCACATCTGTCAAAGGCCAGGCCTCAAGATAAAGCCATAACTTGAAATTATGCCATAATTGGTATCACCTGGTCAGGTAAAGTCCACACAGACCTCAGTCACCCGGGTGGGTGACCAGAGAGCATCCAGATCCTCCCTTCCCAAAATGCCTTTGTTCTTTCCATGTACCCTTGCTAGGTGACCTGCTTCCCTGTTGGACCAGTATTAACTAAGCGGCCATTCCTGTAATCTGATTGATTACTCGTGATTTTGCTCTATAAAATATTCTTAGAGAAATGACCTTGGTGGCAGCCCACTTTCCAGTCCCCTCCTGTCTCTCAGTAAATCTTTCCTACTCTTAACCTCCATTGTTCCTTAAAATTCATTCTTGGATTTCAGGGTAGAGGACACAAACTTGGCGTATGTGACATCTAGCAGGTTGGGAGTTATGTTTTCCCCTATGTCACAGGGATTACAAGTGTGCACCACCACACTCAGCTGAAAGGTTTCTTCTCCAACTCCTTGGGCAGCTTCCCCAGAATGCACCTGTGCCTGGGAAGAGGGCTACCCAGAGTGCACCTGTGCCTGGGGGAAGGGAGGAAGGTCCTGCCTGGCCCCATCAGTGGATCACACCTGCTCATCAAAAGGGTGAGAGCTCGCCCCAAACTTTGACCGAATCACTGCTTTGAGGCTCAGTAGTGGTCCACAGAGCCCTTCTGGTAATAGTCCTTTGTTTCAGGCACTTACTGATCCAGTGGACAGTGCTTCCATACATTATCGCACCTGCAGAGCCCCACGGATCACATTCAAAGTCTTGAGCCTGAGTCAGGTCTAGGCCAGTGCCTAAAACTCTGCATTTGTAGCAAGCAACTAGATGACCCTGCACCCCTGACCCGCGACCTCCCTTCGTGCTAGATGCCTGTGGTCTGGAATTTCTCTCCCGGGTTTGATCATTCTGAGCTCTCTCAGTGGGCTCTCTGCATAGTCTGTCTGCAGGGTTTTCCTCCTTCATTCAAAGAGGAATAAAATGACTTAGCATGGGCACAGTGGCCTTAAGGGAATGAGAAGTGTGGGGGGAGGTTGAATGTACATTCAAAAGAGGTAGGCGGACCCCAACACTTAGAGAAAGTTCTCTGAAAGAGATAAACCCTTAGCCAGGACAGGAAAGCAAAAAGAAAGACCTGAAGAATAAAAGGAGGTCATTTCAGAGTAGGTTCTCCAAAGGGGAGATTTTTTTAAAGGAGGGAAAACAATGAAGAGGTAAAGAAAAAAGGCTTTGGGCTTCCAGCAAGGCCACTGGTGGACACTAACCTCAGCAAAGGAGGGGCGTGGATGGAAGCAGGTGGGTGATGAGAGCAGGGGAGGAAAGTAGAAGGCGTTGGATCACCTAACAGATGGGGAGGTGGAGCTGGGTGTAAGAGCAGAAGAGCTTCCAATCCCTCAGCCACCACCATGAAGAACACACAACAGACCAGCACATTAGAGGAAGCAAAAGGACCCAGCAGAAAGACAGAAGAAACCAGAGTTTATTGGGGCTAAAGTGAGAAAGAGAGAGTATGTAAGGGTTTAGAGGGTGAAGAGAGGATCAGATATTTCACTCCTACAGATTTATTCTAATATGTCAAAAGAGGTGGGGAGACTCTTTGTGCAAAGATATT